GGAAATTTAAGAATGCTCTTCACTTTGCTAGAATTATCCTTAAAAATGGAAAAATATATACGGTTATTAATGTTCAGTCCCTCCTCGCCAACTTTAAATGTTTGTGTAGGCATGTAATGTAGAATTATGAATATGTGCTTGCATGCATGAAAAGGCCTGTTGGTTTTACTAGTATTCAGTATTCTAAGATGTGAATATAGGGAAAACCAGAAAAAGTAAAATATTTCATAAGGAAGACTTCCAAGAATTTTGATGATAGATCAGTTAACCCGGCTCTTAGCATAACAAACCGGTGCTAATAGCAGTTAGGACATTACAAGGACATTACTTATTATCCACCATTTACCATTATCCTCTTAGTCAGGGAAACCTGCAAATAGACTCGAATATGAGCAGTAATAAATTCACACATCTGAAATTATGGAAGACTTTCGAGTCTCCTTCACGGTAACTCTTTTAAAGTAACCGAAAGTCGTATTCGTAGGTCTGTATGATCTTATTATGTACATTTTCCAGTGCCGACGTTAGCACTTCACTTTTCTTGACGTATCAATTTTTTGTGCAAACACCTACTCTGAAGACGTGTGAACAGATACGTTGATCAAGAGATCAATGACAGAATTTGATATGTAGCGCTAATGAACTGCCAATGTTATACATTTGTAACCATTTTTCTTTAATTTGTTCAGTAGCTTTAAGATGACGTCACTTCGGCAACTACTGCTTCCTTCTCAACAAAGGAAATAACCATAAAATTGAAAGAATCCATTCATACTCATTTGAATGTAACGCCCCGGCATGCTTGAGGCCCTAAGCTTACAATTGTTGCTTCAATCTTCCAGAGAATGGAAGTTATGTATCTCATACAAATATCACCTTAACCAAATATTGTCATTTGTTGGAGGTGCTTTGAATTGCGTCATATATCCTACAGTTCATAATAATGTATGTAAACCGCTTATAATTAATTCTAAACCAGTTAGCATATGTGGTAGACTCTTGGTCGAATTGTTCCGTTTGTTTATGTTATTTGATCTTCGTTTCAAAATATTGAGTTTGAACATCGTAACATATTTTGTCGCTATCGCTTTTTAGTTCTTTTATTTTAGTTTTTCATATAAAAAAGTAGCCTATAAAAACTACAGTATGCGCCAAAACTATACAGTACTGAAATGAAAAGACGTTCTGTTGATACCACTGTCTATTCATGTGAAGGCCCCTTGCACGACAGAACCTTCTCAAATCCTGTCCCATGTCCATGTAGCGTTCATGGGTGATGGTAAGAGCATTGCCTTCCTCATCCTCAGTGAAATAGGGGCATAATATACCGTGTTCTGAGACGGCACACCATGTCGTCACACGTGTACTATGTAGCTGTTTCTGGACGATAACATATGGCCGCTCAAAACCAAGGAAGCGAGTTGTCTGGCGACCACTTCCGTATGAGCGGAAATAATAGTCAACTATGAATACTTTTTCCTCCGTCGAGAGACCCGTTTCCAACAACAACTGCACAATACAACTTCCTTTTCACTAATGGGAACACGTGCGGCTGGAACTATGCCCCGTCGACAAACACACATGCGCATTCGAGATGCGCGAGTTTCATTATTGCATGTTTTGGCGCATACTATACATACTAAGAAATGGGGAGAGGTTTTCTGTACTTGACAGTAGTTGCCAAGTACTATAGAACAGAAATGTAGGCCTGTATGGAAATGTAGAAAAGTGCTGAGCACAATAGAGACAACCCTCTTATAACCTAATACAAGCAATTAAAAACTGTAATCGGACAATGTTGCAGATTGCCCGGCCATTGTCGGTAATGACACCTCCTCTTTGGCACCATGGACACTGGCCTTCCATTATTGACAACGCCTCTAGTTTTGGCGAATGTTTATTTCATTGTGTTAAGGCAGACATGTTGGATACTGGCCGGCCAGTGTCTCTCATTCCCTGTTGTCCTTTATTGACAATTACTGGTAAATATTAATAAATTGTTATTGTCAACGATAGTGGCACGGTGTGTAGTTCAGATCACACTGTAAATTACCTGAGACTTATGACTATTGTCGGCAAGAACTGGCCAATTTTAACAACGCCCAATTTCGGCTTTTGACATAACATGCTTTTATGAAATATGCAATCAAGATGCACAGATTTAATGTTGAAATTATTTACTCATAAATTCCTTAAATATAAAACTTGTGTGTGAGATGTGTTTCATAGGTATAACAAATGAAGGTTAAAGTGTGAGGCCAGGGACGATCAACAATTTTTGCGCTATATGTACAATTTGTATCATTGACACATTATTATTTGAAGTTTACTTTCTGTACAGTCTGTTATTTCTACGAAATCATAGAGTTGTTTAATTGGGTAACGCCCTCAGCTATCTATCTTAGCTTCACTGTCAAAATTTTATGTTCAGATTATTTGTTTTAGTTCGTTTCAGGATGGTTTCTCCACTGCACAGAATATGAGAATATGACAGAGAATGATAATTGTGAATGATGTAGAAAGAAAAGTGTGTGACCAGGTTTAATGTAGCCTGCAGTGCCAATATCTGCCTAGAGGAACCGAGGCACTTCACAAAAAAAAAGTCATGTTATCAGGCCTGCAGAACCGGGATCAAACCCGAATAGGAAACATGAAATAAGTCTTTGAAATAATTACGTACTTAAAATATTATTTTGCTGTAAAGTTTTCGTGACGTAACCCAAATTTACCGACTGATTTACATATTAAATTTCTGTTGAGGGTCGGTATAGCGGCGGATTATGTGCTGGATAACTGGGGTTCTATTCCCGGCAGGGGCAAGATTTTTCTATTCTCCATAGTGTTCAGACCGGCTCTGAGGCCAACCCAGTCTCCTATCCCATGGGTACCGGGAGCCCCTTCCCCGGGGGTAAAGCAGTCGCGGCGTGACGCTAACCACTCGCCTCTCTCTAGTGCCGAGATTAAGAAACTTGGAGCTATACCTCCACTCCCCCATATGTCTTTATGGCATAGTGTTTATTTAATTAAGCACATGGATAACGTTGCCTTTTTATCGAGTTTCTGGTGATTATGTTAAGTGTAAACAATCAATTAGAAATATTGATCGTTGTAATAATTGTTCAGAAACTTGTTTTCAGATGGGAAAATAGTCCTCCTAATGCTTCTCCATTAATTGACAAATATTGAAATAATCTGTCAATCATCATCTGAGACACATACACATGTGTTTTTACGTATATAAACACACAATTTTTTTTTCCTTGGCACTACAGCCTAGGTAGGCCTACGCCTACCTCCATGAACTTCTCCGTTCACTTAGGTTTTCTAGATCTTAGACATACGGTAGGACTCCTTGCGGGTGATCAGCTCGTCGCAAGGCCTCTACCTGTACACAAACATCCATGTCCTGAGTGGGATTCGAACCCACGATCCCGGCTTCCGAGCGAGCGAAGACAGTGCATGCCTTAGACCGCTCGGCTACCGTGACCGGCTAAACACACATATTTTCGTACACATATATGCGTATTCGTACGTAGACACAACTGTCTTTTAACTCTTTAAAGCTCAGGGATGACTGCATGTGCCACCAGCTTTACTACGGATAACTCTGCAGTTTTTCCACTCAGTGTATCTGTGCGTTTCGTATCATTCTCACAATAAACAGCAATTATCTCCCTAAACAACATTCACCAATTATTCTATGTAATGTAGGCCCAGTATGTCTACATCCAGTAAGGTGGGAACTGGATTCTTAAATATTATTTAGACAAATAAATTTTCTGTCCACCCCCTTTCTTGTAGTGTCTCCCACAACACCCCAAACTTTCTCTTCTGTTCTCTTCTCTCTTTCTTGCTTCAGAGGTTAATAGTGTGGCTGGTGTAATCATTCTTAAAAATATGATTTTCATCCGTCCCGCCTCAATCAGTCCCTTAGATTAAAAAAATACACGAAATTGGCAGAAACACATCCAGGTTTCTTCTGGCGAAGGAGACATCAGTAATAAATTTCTGGATGATAAGACTGGCATACATGTTTCCCTCCATCACAAATCTAACACAGAGGTGATATAGCAGCAGTACAATAATGTTGGGCCACGGGCTGGACGAACGGGGTTCGATTCCCGACAGGGGCCAGAAATTATTCTGTTTTCCACAGCGTCCAGACGGGTTCTCGGGCCAACCCAGCCCCCTGTCCAATGGGTACCGGGGGGTTCGTTCTCCGGGAGTAAAGCAGCAGGTGCATGAAGCTGATCATTCACCTCCATCTAGTGCCGAAGTCAATAATGGTGGAGCTATACGTGGTGCTTTATTAATTAAGCACATGGACGACTTCACATTTTACCTTTATGCAACAATGTTCTTAAAAAAACAAACAAATTCCGTCCTTAAAAACAAACACATTCCTTGGCCTATAGTCCGCAAGCGAACTATACCGACCGAGCGACTTCCGCTTGTCGGCGATGTTAGTGTCAACATTTGCGGATAGAGGGTGTCACGTGGTCAGCGCAATGGTTCACCACGGCCGTTAATTTCAGTTTTTTAGACCGAAGCCGCTATTTCCTTGAAATAGCTTCACAGTTATCCTCACGAGGCTGAGTGGTCCCAGTTCCAGACCCACTACTTCTCAGAAAATCTGGTAGCGCCTGGAATCGAATCCGGCATCTCTGGATCCGTAGCCAGGAACTCTGACCACTAGACCACAGAGGCGTTTACAACAATGTTCTTATTCCAAAATAAAGTGGCAACATTCCTTTGTGTCTGTACAGTATCCCCGGACGTATATCCTGTAGGTGTAGTTTTTAAAAAAAAGCCACAATCACCTCTCTAAAATCGACATAACATTACCAGCAGTTCCATAAATTATTAAGTCAGGATCAGTATGGCCTTAGATATCTCCGACTAACGCCACTTAATTTCTTAATTATTTAAAATTAATCCTGCAGTTGCCCCCATAGGCATGTTTTCATACCAGGATGCTATGCATGTGTACAATTAATTACCTTCTTCCTACCGCAGGCGCAGTGGTCTGCTACATGTGCGCTATCTGTACGTGTGTGAAAGAAGCTCCATTCCTTCTATAGCTGTGTGTCTCTTCTTCCCATCCTTATTCACCACACTGCAATGAATCAGGAGGAGGGTTCAGACCAACGAAACCTGGTGATATAGTAGACAAACTCAGGAATTCAGATTTACAACCCCTTTCCTTTAGAAGTGTTAAGAAAGGAATTACGGTCTGGTGAGTAAATGAGATGTGTCGGCAGACATACATAGTTCCTGCAGGCCAAGCCATCCATATCATCTACGTAAGAAATAGGATCCAGGAAATGATGTGTGCAAAATGCACGCAAATCCACTTCGGCCGTAATCTGAATTATAAATAAGTCTAATAGCATTTCTTTTGGCAAACAATGTCACTAGCTCCCTCAGTGTGAGGTACTAAATTTCTTTAAGAGTTTCATGTTACAGAAGATAACTCCATGCATCTGAGTCCTTCTTGAGAAGCTGCCAGTCACTCAACCACTCAAGAATTTCCTTACATTTTATCGACCCCGAAAGTTCATTACCGTGTTCACAAGGGCCTGCCACTGGTCCCTAACCCTTACCAGATGAATTTATTCCATATCAACCCGTTCTGGTTCTCTGATATCGTTATAGAAACTTAAGGCCAAAAAGTTCAATTTAAAGGTGCAATGGAATTCAGCTCTTGAACATTTGTTCGATTATTGAATTTGAATATGTTGAGTTTTATGATGTAAAATAAATTTACTTATTTACTTACTCATGGAGCTAAGCCCTACTTGAGGAGCCGCCAATTCTGCAGCTACTGAAGAATTTCCCAGCATTTTATGGAACCCGAAGGTTCATTACCGTGTTCACAAGAGCCCTCCGCTGGTCCCTATCCTGAGCCAGATCAATCCAATCCATACCATCCCATCCTATCTAAGATGCATTTTAATATTGTCCACCCACCTACGCCTTGGTTTCTCCAGTGATCTCTCTTTCCTTTAGGCTTTCCCACCAATATCCTATATGCATTCCTCTTCTCCCTCATTCGTGCTAAATGCCCTACCCACAAAATAAAAGTACCAAGCATATTTAAAGGTACGTTTATTATTATTATTTAGAGAGGGTGGGTTTCCCCATGCACCGCGACCAGTTTGATCTGTTGTGCTTCCCTCTATGATACTCTGCCAGTCTCTATAGCCTACCGATAAATGGTGCGTACCATCAGTCCCGCCGAGCAAGCGAGTTCGGCCACTAGCTTAGCGGTGTCTATAATGCTTCCCCCATCTATTGGAGGCCTTAGAGACTATTGTTGGGCGGGAAACGTCCTGGAATTTGGCTCAGTGATCCCCTTTGGGGATATGAGGTTCTTTTACGTGCCATAAAGTTACGACACGGGACCCACGGCTTAAAGTCCCTCCCGGAGGACTTGTTCCCTGAATTTTTCCGCCCTTAAAAATTCGACAGCCTCCGCCGGGTATTTGAACCCGCGTACTACGAGTCATGAGGTGGGAACGTTACCTCTAGACTACAGAGGCCGCTTAAGGTACATTACTTTGTTCTATAAGTATTTCACAAGTAAGTAAACAACGTTTTCTCATTTCCTGCATCCTTATCTATGCGCATGTCATCAACAAATGAGTTAGCTTCTCTCTCTCTCTCTCTCTCTCTCTCCTTGGCACTACAGCCCCAGTGGGCCTAGGCCTACCTCCATGAACTTCTCCGTTCACATCGGTTTTCTAGATCTTACACATTCGGTAGGACTACTTGGGCGGGTGATCAGCTCGTCGCAAGGCCTCTACCTGTAGACAAACACACAAAAACGCACACAAACATCCATGCCCTGAGTGGGATTCGAACCCACGATCTCGGCTTCCGAGCGAGCGAAGACAGTGCAAATGAGTTAGCTTATACTGTTTAAAATATTGAATTACACATGAAAATGTACATTCCTTTACAGAATTCGTAACTATTAAGAATTGTACTTTTTGGTTATTCTGTGGTTATTTTATAATCTCAGGGTCCTGATTTAGTTCAATCCTTTCCTAGTGTTTCAGTGATCCAATTGTACCCCACGGGTTTGTCGTATGTTCTTGGTTGAGAAACACACTACAGAAGGAAATACGTACTTGTCTGTTTTTTCCACTGCAGTGACTGAGGTCTTGTGCTGTCGACTGCGCCCTAGTAAGTCCCTGACTGGAGCAAGTACGAGTACGTCTTTCTCCTTGTCACCGGGGACAAGGAAGGGAGGGCCGATCTGGCGAGATAAATCGCTTCCGACCCTCGGCTTCAATGTCGGGGCTATCTCTTAGCCGTGTAGGCTAGAGGGTAACCTGGTTACACACAAACACTGTACGTTCCGGGCAGGACCACAAACTATCCCACTAAGTCGTGTATGATACTCAGAACACAGAAAACCATTTGGCGTGACTGTGACTGTTAGCCTCTTAGGAATGTGCAACCATTCAATTGTGTAGCTTCCAGCAGCGTTCAGTTTGAATGCCACATAAATGCATTCTTTGAGTGCGTGAAATTTGATTTTGTTCTTAGAGTTCCCGGTTCAGAAACCGAAACTGAAATGCTGCCATAAAGAATAAAGTTAATAAGCGTTAGAAATAAAAATACATCCGCACCATATTGAATATAAGACTTAAATCTTGCCTCGTAATACAAATATCAATAATATGGAGTGAACCACAAAATTACGTATACTCTACAAGAGACAAAACGTAGTAGGTCGGTCGCACGGCACACTTAGTGTGGAAACATAATGCCCTTAGTCTCAAGTGCAAGATATAGTAATTCAGCTCACTTCATTTTTTCACACTTTCATTCTTCATTGTGAATCTGAACTGCTGAAGTAATGAACTCCATCACTAGCGACTGTATCTATGTTACCGAAATCGAGTCAGAAAATGTGGGAGCCTCGACGTCTCACACTCATATGGGCCTCCAAGACCTGTTACAGGAGTAACTTTACCTTTATTTTAGCTTCTGCCTCAGTATTTCACGTTTGTCGGTGTATTCAAGTAGAATTAAGACTTCGTTCAAAATGTTTTATGAATTATATTCAATGAGGAAGCTAGCTTATTGTGTGTTAATGAAATTACATCACTTATGCCATTGCAAATAATAACTTAACAATGGCTTCCGGAAGTGTCTACATCAGCTGAATCGAATATCAGCTTCTCAAGAACAGTCTGTACCAAGGATGCTATCATCATCATCATCATCAACATCATCGACTTCAAGGTTTAGGCCGTTGGTGAGTTCTGTCTTAGTTCTTTAGTATATTAGTAGCTTCTCTACATACATACCATTGAGGTCACCTCAGAATAGTGTGGCCACGTCATTCCCCGTCTCCCGGCTTGCCGTCCGTAAGTATCTACACTTCTCTCATGGGTCGCAGTGTCGGACAGAATGCTTGAAGTTGATTAACCATCATTAATACCCATGAAACAGTAACACGAAATATTCCGCGCTAAGAGATGTAATATGAAATATATCCTTCCGGGCCACCGGCAGCGGTGATGGTACATATCCTCTGCTCCAGGTTGTATGTGGTAGACAACGCGTCAGAACGCCAACAAGTTGTTAGTTCTACCTGCCCTCCTGCCAGTTCAGAAATGTATAGTGATGTATAGTGTACACCTGTCTGGGAGCCAACAATCTATTTCAGCAGATCTGACATGTAACAACAACCTTTTGTAGCTGCAGTGTAATTGATAGTCTTCCTGAACGAAACCAGCGGTGGCAAGATGATTCTTATGGTGGATTTTCAGTTTTGGGGTTGGAACTGAAAAACGTGTTCGTTTGTCTGTCACTCATATTGTGGCTGTGCAGTTAAGCAGAAATAGTCTGTCATATTGTTAAATAAAATCGGAAACAGTCAGTGGCCTCTCTTGTTCTGTTGCACAGGAAGTGATGCCTATACCTGTTTCGTAAACAATAGTACAGGCCCATAGGGTTGTGAGATGTTAAGTTTCCCACATTTTCTAGACAATTGGTTCATAGATGGCAGTAAGGTTGTCAGCCTTAAGCGCCGTCCGCCCTTTACCCCCAAGAACATTCGAAGAATATTCCTGGTACTCATTTCTATTAGAGGCTGAGCCGCCCCGAGGGCCATGGTGCAGCTGGAAGCATTAGGTAAATTGAAAAAATTCAATGACCTCATCCGGATTCGATCCCGCGACCTTCCGGCTTGTAGCATAGTGCCTAAACCAAATACAAAAAAAAAAAAAACTTTGTGATTTTAGTCCGCAAGCGAACTATACCGACCTCAACCAACTACACTATATGCGAGTATATAGCATTTAGGAAGTCAATGGTCCAATGGTTTTACTAAAAGACGTTAATGTTGCATCAGAATAATTGAGGCACTGGTTGATACGACTGTGGCTCTTCATGGCCGTGGGACGGAAGAAAGATAAACCCCCATGTTAGGCATGTATGATCGTTCACCGAATCATCAACGGATATCATCGTATAGGGAACCAGTTTCTATTCTTCCTGCAGGCAAGACAAGAAGTTTTAGGCACCTATTTTCTGCATTGTTGTTAGGTAATCGGTGGGCACGTGTGGCATTCTCATGTGTAATAAAAGCCAATGATTGCCTGATGATCTATAAGTATAGGCCTATCAATTTATAAGCTACTGAACCATGCTGTGTGACCTGTCCATAAACATAATGTTAACTAATACTTTTCTTAACGATTATTCCAAAGGTTTAATCGACTCGTTCATTAATTCCAAGGGGATCAGTTGTCCGAATAAAGAGCGAAAGCCTCTGGGCTCGGTGTACATCCCATATGTGAAGGGTGTTTCTGAGAAGTTCAAATGTATAGGGAATCGATACAACATTAGGACGATCTTCAAAACTAAAACTCCTAGAAGTTCACTCATGAAAACCAGGCCGGAAAGAGACCCGCAACAGAGGGCACGTGCATCTACAGTATTCCGTGTGAGTGTGGGAGGAGCTGCACAGAGGAACCAGGGGGACCTCTAGCCGTGCCGCTCCGTGAACATAGGCACAATCTCCAACAGGGTCTTCTAGAAAAATCAAAAGTTGTCCAACATGCTTATGAAGAGGGTTATAGAGTAGGCTGGAATTATGCTAAGATTTTTTAAATTGAAAGTAACAGCAGGCATGGCCCGCGCTATAGCTCAAGCGGTTAGTCGCTGGCTTCCCACCGCGGCGGCCCGGGTTCGAGCCCGGGTCTGGTCAAGTGGGATTTGTGGTGGACAAAGTGGCCCTGGGGCGGGTTTTCTCCCAGTACTTCGGTTTCCCCTGCCACTCTTCGTTCCACCAATTGCTCCACAATCACCCTCACCTATCATCTGGGGCTTGTACAATAGGGCAGAAGTGGCCGCAGTACGAGGGACTTAGCACCTCCCCACTCGCAACAAAAAAACAGCAGGTATAGAAAGTGTAAGGAATCGGCCCATATGGCATGCTTAACCAATCAAATCAGCCAGCCAAGTTTGGACATTTCTCCTATCTGGATCCCCCTTATCAGCAGTGAGATTTCTATGACGTGACAGATTCTTCGTGGGTTTCCATAAGATTTCAGTCTCGAGTGTTTAGTTTTACTCCATAGATGGCGCTAGTGGTAGATACTACATATCTTCACAATTTTTCCCCCCCATTTCCTTTCACTGGTACTTATGCACTTGGTTCTGTTGGCTAGGTTTGTAGCACAAATTTCTACCTCCTTTTCTATCCTAGTTCTACACATGTGCGTGCTTTATCACATTTTACTGCATATTTTCTTGTTATCTCCCGCCAAATTAGCCTGCTCTCAGGTGATTAAATAGCTGTGTGAATCTGTCACAGGTTGTCCAGTGATTGAGGTTAGCTTTTTCTAAGGGACGCAATTCACCTGAGGACCGAAACAGATCCAGTTTCCGAAACGTCGTGTTCTGTATTTTCTGTAATACCAGACGATTGAAGAAGTTCCCAAACCTAGAAATTCTGACTTTCCTTAACGTTTCTATTGTCCATCTGTTCTGTTTACTATTCATTCGTTTTTATGTAACTTTAAATACTTTAAATTTACTTGCCTTGAATTTCCTTGCAGCGAAATAAAACGAGGACCTGAAATGTTAGACATCATTACCAGGCTAATATGCAACAGTGGTTAATCAGTCATCGAAAAGACACTAAAAATAATGTAATAATGCCAGACCAGTGCTGGGACGTTAAAAATATGTGTTAAAATTATGTTTAGTTAATGCTGATCCTCCTCAAATAAATGTCTCAGTCTCTCTGACGTAAGCATAAGGATAATTTTATCCATCAGTCTTCAATTTCTCTATGAGATGAATGGAATGGAAATGTGTAGTACAAGGCTACTCTTTTTCGGTCTGTCATGCCGCTTTCATCCCCCTCCTGACTAGCTTTTTATCGACTCAAGAAATATGGATGTCTACTTTGAGAGCAGGGAACACATGAGAGAGGAAGTCAAGATGATAAATTAGACGTCTCCCCATCGTTTATAATGATTGCTTTCTCTAAGGATTCAATAAATAACCCTGGAATCGGCTTCCCTGCTCTAATGGACGGATGCAACATAGCAGGTTGAGCTTTGATCTGCTGTTATAAAGTACGACGTTTCATCATTCATATATCATAAAGCAGGCTTTTCAAACGTATTTAACGTTCTACTAAATCATAAACCCGTAATCGCTTGAAGACTTCTGTCTCGTGGGATATAATAATATGCCTACTCATTTTAGTCACTGATTCAGAACCTCGGATCCAACAAACTCTTAGTCACTTATTTGAATTTCAAAAACATGCTTCATCTTCTTGGCCTAGTTTATTGTATTAAAATTTGTTTGTGTCTGAAGATTAATTTTTGGTTAATGAAGCACATGCTCACTGGGTTCATGTTCACTGTCATTAAGTGTTCCGTGTACGAGAAAGAAAAACGTGGGAACATTATTCCGAACCCTGCTAGGAGTTCAGATTCATCTGCTCTGTATACGTGTCGCGGAGGGCACGGATCACACAAGGAAGAGCTCCATAATTTGTAATCTTTATCGAATATTAAATGATTAAAAATAAAATGGGTGGCCCTATTTCAGTTCGTCATGAATAGCAGAAAATATGATTCGATTCTTCTATCAAGACTTACGCAAAATACGTATTATTCACTGAGACCCTATAGCATATTCCAGACTTTGTGAAGTGAAGAAACTGTTAGGTGTCACCGCTCTTCCATTTTCACGCACCCGCCCTAAATTGTCAGCCATGCTGGAATTCTAAGAACATTGATATGTTAATTGAAGTGGTACCTACACGCCTCTTCATGCTATCTTAAAAAAATAGATGCATATCACAGGGCGTGGACCTCTCTTCCCAGTCTCCATTCCTTTGTTACTACCTTCATTCACCTTGTAACTATGAAAGTTGATGTGAATGCCTCATCTAAAAACATTCATTAAGTCACTACCTCAATTCCTTCAAGTGGAACACAGCCACATCGAAATTATTGTCCCAAAGTTTGTGATATTTGTTAATTCATTACACCTGTTATGTTGGAGATCTCTTCTGATATACACGACGTTTCGAGAGTTACAAATGTACTTCAGGACGTTGCGAGTTCGATTCATATAGCTACCGGTTTTGTTGAAAATGAAAACATAAATGTTATCCAGTACCTACAATGACAACCATTCGCCTGAAGAAGGCAGTAGAACCCACACAGCTTGTGGTTTCTGATAGGCAAGTCGCACTATGGCAGTATTTTTTCCAAGTTCTTCGGTTTTATCCTGTCAGGAATTACTAGAGGCAAAGCTTTTAAAACGGCCTGCTTGAGAGAAAGTGTCATTAACCCCTTTCCGACTGCTGTTATTGAGATGTCTAAAAACTTAAAGAGTTGAAGGCACTGTTAAGCGACTTTGTATTTTTAAACTTTTTTAAAATTATTGTAACGTGTATAGCAAGGCAACGGCTCGATAAGCACCTCAATCGCGTGATGATAATACATGATCAAGGCCAGGCAAGGGCTCCGTAAACATGTTCCGACACGCAACAATGGAAACTGTATTCTCAATGGACGAATGTTACAGCTCGTTGTTAAGCAACAGTCAGCGCGCCAATGAACTGGCTGGATGGTGATCACGTGGTACACCAACAGAAGTGTCACGCAACAATAGAGGAAGCTGTTTTATTCTGTGCGTCGGTCCGTACAGCGGCTATATAACGCGAGTCCGCTTGTAGTTAGTTACACACGCACTAGGATTCTCCGTCTTCACTAGTCGCCTCCTGGTAACGGAATTAAAAGTCTCGCTGTGACTAAATCTTCATAGGCCGACTTCTGATTCTTCCTCTACTACGAACTTGCCATTGCTATCTCCTACGGACAACTGAACTAGACAAAGTCAAAGTCGTAAAGCTTATCTGAAAGGCGTATTTCATAAATCCCTCCCATCAGTCTGTGCCTGTATTTGTATGTTGCTAGGCAATGGCTTAGTAATGAAAAAAAAAACGTT